TACGCCGGAGCCCCCTTGATGTCCAGCGGGGGCGGAGGAGTCTCTGCTATCTCACACTCCTGGAGTGGACCAGCTACCACTGGCCTGAGGAGAGACACATGGAACGAGGGGTTAATATTCTTATACTCAATAGGAAGTTGTAATCTGTAACACACCTCGTTCAACCTCCTCAGGACTTTAAACGGCCCCACAAACCGCCGACCCAGCTTCCACCAGGGCAGGCGGAGGGGCAGGTTTCTGGTCGAGAGCCAGACTCGATCTCCCGGTGCGTACACCGGTCCCTCACTGCGGTGGAGATCAACGCTCGCCTTGTGTCAACGGATGGCCCGCTGCAGATGTACGTGAGCAGCGTTCCACGTCTCCTCCGAGCGCCGCACCCACTCATCCACCGCAGGGGCCTCGATCTGGCTCTCATGCCAAGGTGCCAGAACCGGCTGGTACCCTAACACACACTGGAAAGGGGTTAGTTTAGTGGAGGAGTGGCGGAGAGAGTTCTGTGCCATCTCGGCCCAGGGAACATATTTCGCCCACTCCTCCGGCCGGCCCTGGCAATACGACCTCAGAAACCTACCCACATCCTGGTTTACTCGTTCAACCTGCCCATTGCTCTCCGGGTGGTACCCCGAGGTAAGGCTCACCGAGACCCCCAAGCGCTCCATGAACGCTCTCCAGACTCGAGAGGTAAACTGGGGGCCTCGATCAGACACTATATCCTCGGGTACCCCGTAATGCCGGAAGACGTGAGTGAATAGTGCCTCAGCGGTCTGTAGGGCAGTGGGAAGACCCGGCATGGGAAGGAGACGACAGGCCTTCGAGAACCGATCCACAATGACCAGGATGGGGGTATTTCCCTGGGAGAGGGGAAGATCAGTAACGAAATCCACCGAGAGGTGAGACCAGGGTCGTTGTGGAACGGGCAGGGGTTGTAACTTACCCCTGGGCAAATGTCTGGGTGCCTTACACTGGGCACATACCGAACAGGAGGAAACATAAACCCTCACATCCCTGGCTAACGTTGGCCACCAGTACTTAGTGCTAAGGCAGTGCACCGTCCGGCCAATCCCTGGATGTCCAGAGGAGGGTGACGTGTGAGCCCAATATATAAGTCGATCCCGAACCTCGAACGGCACGTACATCCGACCCACAGGACACTGTGGAGGGCTAGGATCGGTACGCAACGCCCGCTCGATTACGGAATCGACCTCCCACACCACCGGTGCCACCAGGCAAGACGGCGGGAGTATGGGCGTGGGCTCAACGGACCTCTCCTCCGTGTCATACCGCCGGGACAGAGCATCTGCCTTACCATTCTGGGACCCAGGGATGTACGTGATCTTAAAAACGAACCGGGCCAGAAACATATTCCACCTAGCCTGGCGAGGGTTCAGTCTCCTAGCTGCCCGGATGTACTCCAGGTTTCGGTGGTCTGTCAAAATGAGGAAAGGGTGTTGAGCCCCCTCTAGCCAATGCATCCACACCTTTAGGGCCTGGACCACGGCTAGCAGCTCCCTGTCCCCCACGTCATAATTTCGCTCCGCCGGACTGAGCTTTTTAGAGTAAAAAGCACAGGGGCGGAGTTTCAGGGGCGTGCCAGCTCGTTGCGAGAGCACGGCCCCTATACCGGCTTCAGACGCGTCTACCTTGACCTGGAATGGGAGTGCGGGATCCGGATGCGCCAACACCGGCGCCGAGGTAAACAGGTCCTTCAGTCTCCCAAAAGCCCTATCCGCCTCAGCAGACCACTGCAAGCGCACCGGACCTCCCTTTAGTAGAGACGTTATGGGAGCTGCCACCTGTCCAAAACCCCGGATAAACCTCCTGTAGTAATTCGCAAAACCCAAGAACCGCTGCACCTCTTTAACAGTAGTTGGAGTTTGCCAATTACGCACGGCCGACACACGGTCAACCTCCATCTTAACCCCTGACGCAGACAACTGATAACCCAAAAAGGAGACAGACTCCTGGAAAAACAGACATTTCTCTGCCTTGACATACAGATCATGCTCCAACAATCTCCTCAATACTCGGCGCACCAGGGCTACATGCTCGGCTCGGGTAGAAGAATACACTAGAATGTCGTCAATGTACACGACCACTCCCTGCCCCTGCATATCCCGGAAGATCTCATCAACGAAGGATTGGAAGACTGAAGGAGCATTCATTAACCCGTATGGCATGACGAGATACTCGTAATGACCCGAGGTGGTACTAAATGCTGTCTTCCATTCGTCTCCCTCCCTAATACGCACCAAGTTGTATGCGCTCCTGAGATCCAATTTTGTGAAGAAACGCGCCCCGTGTAAAGACTCCGTCATAGTCGCAATCAGAGGGAGTGGATAACTGTATTTCACAGTAATCTGATTGAGACTGCGGTAATCAATACACACGGGCGCAAACCTCCATCCTTTTTCTTCACAAAAAAGAAACTCGAGGACGCAGGGGAAGTGGAGGGCCGTATGTATCCCTGTCTCAGAGACTCGGCTATGTAAGTCTCCATAGCTCTCTTCTCCTCTTGAGACAGAGGATACACATGGCTCCGCGGAAGCGCAGCTCCTACCTGGAGGTCTATCGCACAATCCCCCTGTCTATGTGGTGGCAATTGCGTCGCCTTCGCTTTACTAAACACAATTGCTAAATCATCATACTCGGGGGAAATGTGCAATGCCGGCAGTTGGTTTGGACTTTCCACCGAGGTCGCCCCTACGGAAACGCCCAGACATCGCCCTACACACTGGACAGACCACTCCTTGAGAGCCCTCTGTTGCCACGAAATAGAGGGATTATGAGTAATCAACCAGGGAAGCCCCAGCACCACCGGATACGCAGAAGAGTCTATAAGATATAGCTGAATAGTCTCCTCATGACCCTCCTGCGTCCCCATCCTAAGTGGAGCTGTGACCTCCCTAATCAACCCCGACCCCAACGGACGGCTATCTAAAGCATGTACAGGGAAGGGACTACTGACTGGAAGGAGGGGAATCCCTAACTCAGCACAAAATCGCCGATCTATAAAATTCCCAGCTGCGCCTGAATCTACTAGCGCCTTATGCTGGGAATGAGGTGCAACCTGTGGGAAGCAAACAGGTATGGTTAGGTGATCAACAGAGAGCTCTGTGTAAGTGGGGCGCCTACTCACCTGGAGGGACTCCCCAGAGCGTGGCCTGCCGTCTCTCCCCCTAGGAGACCCCCCCAGCACCTGGCCGCAGTGTGTCCTCCACGGCCACAGTAGGTACAGGGGTTGGTTCCCCTGGGGCTCCTTCTCCTCTCCTCTCTAGCGCCAGCACCCCCGAGCTCCATAGGATAGGACTAGGCTCGGAGGTGCTGGAGGGTGGAATGGACGACCCCCACTCAGGACGTCCGCGGGTGGCCAACAGGGTGTCGAGGCGAATGGCCATGTCAACTAACTGGTCAAACGTGAGGGTGGTGTCCCTGCAGGCCAACTCACGACGGACGTCCTCCCGTAGGCTGCAGCGGAAGTGGTCTATGAGGGCCCGCTCATTCCACCGCTAGAGTCCGGAACTCCAGTGCAAAATCCTGTGCGCTCCTCTTCCCCTGTCGGAGGTAGAATAGACGTTCTCCCGCCGCCTTCCCCTCAGGTGGATGGTCGAATACAGCCCTGAAGCGACGGGAGAACTCCGCATAGGTGATCGTCGCGGGGTCTATTCTCCTCCATTCGGCGTTGGCCCATTCCAACGCCTTGCCGGTGAGACAGGAGATGAGGGCGGAAACGCTCTCGTGTCCCGAGGGCACCGGGTGTACAGTGGCGAGGTAGAGTTCTACTTGTAGGAGGAAACCTTGACACCCGGCAGCGGTACCATCATACGCCCTCAGGAGCGAGAGCCGAATCCCACTGGGTTCCGGAGCGTGGACTAAGGGACTGACCGGTGCTGGTGGTACTGTGGGAGGAGGCGTGGGTGCCCAACTGGTCTCCAGGCGATGCAGGGTATTCATTACTCCTTGTAATGCGTTGGTGATCTGGGCTATCCTGTCATCCTGTCCGCGGACGCGCTCCTCCCATGACTCGGTCGCTGCTGCTGCTCCTGCTGATTCCATGAATGGTGTGTAGTTCTGTCAAGGCCGGGCGTAGGAGTCGTGTGGAATCAATTGCAGGATGCAGATGCAAGTCCAAAAACACTTTAATAAAGTCCACAGAAACAACGGCTATAAACAGAGCCGGTTGAACAAGGGAAAAATAAACGCACTCAGCGTAAAAGTACAACAAACGCACAACGTGCGGACTCTCTAATAACATAGAGCACAAACTGACTGGCAACACCTGCTGACATAGAACAACTACACACAACCACAAGACAGAAACAACAAGAACTTAAAGGACACATAATCAAGACGAAATGAGCAACAGGTGTAACAAATCAGACCAAACCAAACACACACAGACACAACGAACGGTGGCAGCTAGTACTCCGGGGACGACGACCGCCGAAGCCTGCCCGAACAAGGAGAAGGAGCAGCCTCGGCTGAAACCGTGACATCCACCCCCGTAGAGAAAATGTTGTCATTTTAAAGCAAGTTTGCTGCAATTCTACACATTTTACCATGGGTCGGAGAGAAGATTTAGCAATTTTATAACTAATTTCATGCAATTTTACTTATTTTGCAATGGGGCTGAGAGAAAAATTTGCAGTTTTACAGCTAATTTGTTTGCATGCTTACTATGAGTTTAGACAGCTGACCGCTAGACTAACTTTCCAATAAATAAATAAATAGCTGACATGGGCTAATTCAGTTACTGCTGATGCAAAACCAAATTTCGAAATCGCACCTTGTGTATTCAATTATTGTAATGCTCAACAGTAAGTATATATATATATATTGGTCCGCGGACCTACAAAAGGGGGGCCAGTTACCCATCCCTGCTCTATAGCTACTGTTTCACTCAACTGTCTCTTTCCATTCCTCTGTCACTTTCATCAATGCTGCTGTGAATCTATGAAACACTTCCTAGTGTCCAGTTATGCATTGACTGTGCTCCCTTATAGCTCAGGTGGACCAAGCATCCTGGCCCTGGGACTGAAGAGGGGGGACAGACTGGGCATGTGGGGACCCAACACAAATGAGTGGGTCCATTTCGAGTTTGCCACAGCCAAGGCTGGCATCATACTGGTGTGCACTGACACTGATGACACATAGAAGGAGGGATCTTAATAGGGGAAAACGTGCTAGTTTTTGCACCCTCTTTGTGGGTACATTAAAGAAGATGTTTTCAATGGTTATGTTTTGTCCTCTGACAGGCGTCTGTTAACCCAGGCTATCAGGTGCAGGAGTTGGCGTTTGCTTTGAGGAAGGTGGGTCATTTCATGTCATATATTTTGTTAAATGAGAACAGCACTGGGTGTGGTGCTCTTAAGTAGGGTGGGCCGCTGATTGCTTTTTCAACATTTTGTGATGATGATAATGACGATGATGATAATGATGTTATTGATGTTCATTGGTGGTAATAACAGTGGTATGCAGTTGTAATGCAAGCAGGTGAATGTAATAGTCACTTCTTTGCTGGTCTTGACCCAGGTGGGATGCAATGCCATTGTGTGCCCGACCCAGTTTAAGACCCAGAAGTACTGTGACATGCTCAAATAGAGCTGTCCAGAGATGGACACTGCTATCCCAGGTTCTGTCAAGAGTGCCAGGTATGACCACACTGCTTTCTTCTTTTGATGAATTCTCACATATCAGTTACATTGAGTGATGGTCAAAGCACAATCCCCACAGAAACCCTGCATCACGTATTGGAGGGTACAACACTTTGAACATTGCAGATGGAAACATCTTCAAAAGAGCTGGCATGATTCCCTATTCTACATGGTTGAGAGGCATAGTTGTCTGTTCTACAACATATATTTCTATGTTAACGTTCTGTACTATTGCAGATAGAAACATCTTCAATAGAGCTGACATGATTCCCTATTCTACATGGCTGAGAGGCATGGTTATCTGTTCTACATCATATATTTCTATGTGAATGTTCTGTAACATTGCATCCCACTGAGCGTGACCCATCCTCCTTAGACTCCCAGACCTCCACACGGTAATAGTGACAGACAGCCAGCAGCTGGGAATGTACCATCTTGAGGACGTGATGCAGGCAGGGAGTAGCCAACACATGCAGCAGCTGGATGAGCTGCAGAAGAAGTTGTCATTCGACGACCCCATCTACATTCAGTTCACATCAGTACTTAACTAACGGTAACGAGAGGAAGCGATATAACGCAGATAGAGAGTAGATGCATAGAGACAGAGAAGCTAGATATGAGAGTATTTCGCAGCGAGAGCAGATAATGAGCGCTAGCGCGTCATCTAGCTCGATCTCTTCCTTTCTATATCTCTCTCTCTCTCTCGCTCTATCTCTCGATCTCTCTCTCTCTCTCTCTCTCATTCTTCTTCTCTCTCTCTCTCTCTCTCTCTCTCTCTCTCTCTCTCTCTCTCTCTGATCCTGCACTCACAATTAGTATTTTCTTGGTCATGGTATTCAACAAATCTATACTGTGAATGTTAAATCGTCTGTTGACATTGATCTGAATAACTCACAGTATTGAGTAATGATGCATGTCCCCTGTGCATGCTCCAGTTTACCTATTCAAATGCATGTGTGTATATGTTTGTATATGCATTGCTTTGTGCTTGCTATTTCTCTGACAAACTTTTTTGTCTGATGTCAGGGCACGACGGAAAACCCCAAAGATGCCACCCAACAGCCTACTTCTTTGGCATGCTATGACTGGAGGGTGAATGCCCTGCCCACACAGACACATATGATTCCAGACAATGGGTTAGTTAGAGTCACTGGGGTAGACGTGCTGATCTGGCAGCTATGGAGAGTGAAAGGTATGGCAGAAATATCTAAGTCCTGGTTGTCGTCAGTGGAGGGAGGTAAGAGATCATGTTTTTAACTCAGGTCATTAGTTTCTTTTCTAATCATATTCTCGAAATCAGCTGGATTGAACAGTAGTTAGGATGGTGATTGATTGGGATGAAATCCTGCATACTCTGGGTCCTAGAGGACCGGTATTGGAATCTTAGATGACGTGTTTGTTTATGCGTTTTAGGCATCATGGCTGGTTCCCTGAGTCCACCTGAAATAGTGAAGAAGGTAATTTCTACCATGGGTGTTAAGGAGCTCTTAGCGAGTAATGTTTTTCTTCATTCAGTTAATTTATTAATTTAAGTTAGCTAATAGATTTTTGGATATACAGTTAAAGTTGGAAGTTTACATACACTTAGGTTGGAGTCATTAAAACTCGTTTTTCAACCACTCCACACATATTTTGTTAACAATCTATAGTTTTGGCAAGTTGGTTAGGACATCTACTTTGTGCATGACACAAGTAATTTTTCCAACAATTGTTTACAGACAGATTATTTCACTTATAATTCACTGTATCACAATTCCAGTGGGTGAGAAGTTTACATACACCCAGTTGACTGTGCCTTTAAACAGCTTGGAAAATTCCAGAAAATGATGTCTTGGCTTTAGAAGCTTCTGAAAGGCTAATTGACATCATTTGAGTCAATTGGAGGTGTACCTGTGGAAGTATTTCAAGGCCTACCTTCAAACTCAGTGCCTCTTTGCTTGACATCATGGGAAAATCAAAAGAAATCAGCCAAGACCTCAGAAAAAAAAAGTCTGGTTCATCCTTGGGAGCAATTTCCAAACGCCTGAAGGTACCACGTTCATCTGTACAAACACCATGGGACCATTCAGCCGTCATACCGCTCAGGAAGGATATGCGTTCTGTCTCCTAGAGATGAACATACTTCGGTTGCGAAAAGTGCAAATCAATCCCAGAACAACAGCAAAGGACCTTGTGACGATGCTGGAGGAAACAGGTACAAAAGTATCTATATCCACAGTAAAACGAGTCCTATATCGACATAACTTGAAAGGCCGCTCAGCAAGGAAGAAGCCACTGCTCCAAAACCGCCATAAAAAAGCCAGACTACGGTTTGCAACTGCACATGGGGACAAAGATTGTACTTTTTGGAGAAATGTCCTCTTGTCTGATGAAACAAAAATAGAACTGTTTGGCCATAATGACCATTGTTATGTTTGGAGGAAAAAGGGGGCACTTGCAAGCCGAAGAAAACCATCCCAACCGTGAAGCACGGTGGTGGCAGCATCATGCTGTGGGGGTGCTTTGCTGCAGGAGGGACTGGTGCACTTCACAAAATGGATGGCATCATGAGGAAGGAAAATTATGTGGATATAGTGAAGCAACATCTCAAGACATCAGTCAGGAAGTTAAAGCTTGGTCGCAAATGGGTCTTCCAAATGGACAATGACCCCAAGCATACTTCCAAAGTTGTGGCAAAATGGCTTAAGGACAACAAAGTTAAGGTATTGGAGTGGCCATCACAAAGCCCTGACCTCAATCCTATAGAAAATATGTGGGCAGAACTGAAAAGGCGTGTGCGAGCAAGGAGGCCTACAAACCTGACTCAGTTACACCAGCTCTGTCAGGAGGAATGGGCCAAAATTCACCCAACTTATTGTGTAAAGCTTGTGGAAGGATACCCGAAACGTTTGACCCAAGTTAAACAATTTAAAGGCAATGCTACCAAATACTAATTGAGTGTATGTAAACTTCTGACCCACTGGGAATTTGATGAAAGAAATAAAAGCTAAAATAAATAATTCTCTCTACTATTATTCTGACATTTCACATTCTTAAAATAAAGTGGTGATCCTAACTGACCTAAGACAGGGAATGTTTACTAGGATTAAATGTCAGGAATTGTGAAAAACTGAGTTTAAATGTATTTGGCTAAGGCGTATGTACCTTCCGACTTCAACTGTAAGTGATTGTCCAGAGAGTTCACTCACATGGTTTCCCTGGCCTGAGTCAGTCCCTGGTTAGCGGGGAAGGGTCAAAACGAGCTGTGAGGTGGCCCTTCAGGACCGTCACTGCAGGGCGCAGTTAATACACTGTATATTTTTTTCATTAGAGGGAGACATTTTAATACGAGAACGTCCTTCCAGATTCATAATTGCAGGGTTGTTGGCCAACTCTACTGCATGCGTTTGTTCTAGCCCAGCACGAACACACATGCTTCTACTAATAAGCTAAAGATTAAGATATTGATTAGCTGAATCAGATGTATGTGTTAGGCTGGGACAAAAGCCTGCAAACCCTGTAGCTCCCCAGGAGTAAGGCCATCCCTATGGTATTGGCTCTCTGTTAATGTCTTAATCTGTTAACGCACAGTAGTTGAAAATGGAATCAAGACAGACAAGGTTAAATCTTTATTTCTTAGATGTTTATTGGATGTGAGTTGTTCACCTCCAAAAGTTGAAAAAATACATTTTTGATGTTCAATATACATAAAAAAGAAGAGTCAAATCTTAAGAGTTATGATGCTCCCAGAGTTTGGGAAGTGTTCAATGCTTATAGACAATCCATTGACTTAGCAGTAAAAAGTATATTACTTTAAATGAAATGTAACACAGTGTCTGTGTGTGTCCGCTAACAAATGAAGCATTGCCACAGCAGGGTGGAAGGAAAAGGCAAAATATTTAGTACGTTACTTATTTAGTCAAAGACATGATACCTCTGCCACCTTTTCTCATATCCATTCTGAACTGTACACCATTTCCCCCTGTGATAACAGATCTAAATGCACTGCAAACACTTTTAAACGTAATTAATGTAAGAATGATGTATCCTTGTATCTCTTGGGAGATTGAAAACATACAAAGGACAGTCTTTAAACGAAAGATACTACTGGAGAACTGGAGTCTCTTTGTCCATGTCGTCTCTGACTGTTCCTTCCCAACTTCGACCTGCCATCACTCCATTGTCTCATAAACCCTTTCAGAAAAAGTCCTCAGCCGCCTGCGCTGTGATGTGTCGTTTACCTTCTGTCAGAGTTTGAGAGGAGTCAAGTCACGCTACGTCGACGTCCGTTTTACGGTCACAGTCCTTTCAGGATGTTTTCTCAGTCTGACAGAGAATTTCTCACAGGAGAAGCGAGACAGCGAGACATGACCGACCAAGTGACCCATAGTAAATAAAGGGAGACCTGGCCTGGAGCATTCCATTTAGACATTAATTTTTTTTGGTGGAGAGGGGCTTGGGGAATGATGCAGGCCATTGCTGTGGCAGCAGGTGGTGGGTTCCTGAGAGGTGAGGGCGTAAAGCTGGCGTCAGGGAGAGCGAGACGAGGAGAGTCAACATGGCTGCTTGTCTGAGTGTTGGTTGTGGGATGCTTGACAAATTCCTCAGCCATTGAAAAGAGAGGGGGGATGAAAGAAAGGTGTGTGTGTGTGTGTTTGTATTGATAAACATTGTGTGTATGTTGTGTGTGGGTTGTGTGAATGTTGTGTCTGTGAACTGAAAGTGTTTTCTTGAGTCTCTGCTTCGTGTAAGCCTTTTGATTTTTCTATTTGTGTGTGGGTTATGTGTGTTTTTGTGTGTGCATGTGTTTGTGTCATGTATCACTCCCTGTGTGTACATGTGAAATTGATATTTGGCAGATAGTGAGATGGACAGTCTTGAAGTAGCAGTTAGCGTTGCTTTCTTTCTCTGCACACGTACCAAGCCTGTCACCTGGACAGGCCTTTCCCCTCAGGCAGCGTCTCC